GAAAGAAAGAAAGAAAGAAAGAAAGAAAGAAAGAAAGAAAGGAAGAAAGGAAGAAAGAAAGAAAGAAAGACTTTAAGAACTTGAAATGGATATGGCAGTGCACATTTGTAACTCTATCCCTTAGGAGGATAGAGAGGAATAATTGCACATTTAATCCCAGCATAAGCTACTTAGTGAGATCAAGACTAATTTGTACTACAAAGTTAAAAACATATCTCATGGAAACAAAAAACAAAAAAGAAAAAGAAACAAGGAAAGAAAACATAAGAATTTGACTTTGCAAAAAGTATCATATTAATATAATGAAAGTAAATGGTTAGGGATTAAAAATGCAAATAAGGCCCAGCCAAATACCTCAGCAGATTAAAGTGCCTGCTTAGGCCAAATGCAAGGTCTGGGAGTTCAATCCCCTGGCCTGCCGATCTACACAGTGAGGCCCTGTACACCCTGTCCTAAATTTTTAAAAGATGCAAGTAAGTGTATAAATAGTCCATCAAAGGTCAAAGCCCAGGCAATTTGCAGCACAATTGTTTGTAATAGTTAAGATCTAGAAACAACTCAATTCTCTGTCATCAGATGATGAAATCAGTATAATCTCATGTGTTCATATCCAAAACAAGAATGAAGCTCTGCTGCAAAGAAAAGCACAGGTGAACTTCACAACACAGGTGAAGTCAACCTATGAGTTGGTTCAAACAAATTAGAAATAAAAAGGAAAATCTACTGGATGATTTTGCCTAAAGATCAAATCTGAACAAAATATTTCTGGCATTAGAATCTTTTCCTGTGTGTTGTGGTTTGTGTCTAGTTGTCCCCCCAAATCTTCATGCAGTCATGGGGCAACTTCTGGAGTGTGTAATTGATTGTTTATCCAATGTTGGGATTATAGTTGTGAATGTCCTGAGGCAGATTCTCTGCTTGACAATGTGAGGAGGGGATAGAGGCTAGCTAGCTGCCTGAGCTAATACTACTCTCTTTGTTATCTTGCTCCTTGCCACCTCAATGAATGACTGCTCTCTGCCATGTGCTCCTCTGCCTTAGAGCCAGTCAAGTATGGATTGAAACCTCCAGTAACCATGAGCTAAATAACCCTTCCCTTCCCTAATTTTGGTCATCAGGCTTTTCTCTCAGAAACAAGAGAACAGTAACCAAGACATTGTTCACAGAAGGACTGGACTGTGATTAATGGGATATTCAGGTGAATTCTGGTAGAGTTACTAACATTGTGTTGGCCTGCATGACATACTTAACAAAGTTTTACATCCACTCTTACACATTATTTTAAGAAATGTAGGGCCAGGTGTGGTGGTAGACACCTGTAATTCCAGCACTCAGGAAGCTGAGGTAGGATGATCACCATGAGTTTGAAGCCAATGTGGGCTATACAGTGAATCTAGTTCAGCCTGAACTACATGCTGAGACCTTTAGTCAAAAAAGTACATAAATAACAATGTCTTTTAAAATATTTCCATTAACCTGCTTTATCCAGCCTGAAGGAGGCATCGTCAGCAAGTGTCACCCTCCTTCACTATAGAACATTTCAATTTGAAGTCATTTCTCTCTGCTGGGTGCTGTGAAACCTGTCGCCCCAGGAGCATCCCGGGTCCCTGACACCTCAAACATTCTCTCACCTGAGCAGACCACTGAGGCTGTGTTCCCATGGTCACAGGCAGGAGCACCCAGGGCTCTCACAGGGCAACTCCACAAGAAGGACTCAGACCCTGAGCAGTGGAATCGGTTTTTCCAGATCTCACCACCATTTTCCACAAAGTACGCTCCTCTTTTGGGGTGAAGATGGCAACACCACAGCCCAACTGGAGGCACACAACATCCACATTGGCCATATTCCAGTGGGAGGCACACAGTGCTTTCCAGCCCACAGAGGTGTTCACCTCCACCTGACCCTCACACTGGGAGGTGCTGTTCTTCCTGAGCTGGACTTCACTGAACTCTGAGAGAAAACAAATTTTCAGTAATATTTCTCATTCTTTTTGTCCACAGGCTTTCCAAAGAGGCTAAATCCTATCTCTGAATCTCACCTGAACAAACAATTTCAACAGCTCCACTATGATAGCAGCTTCCTCCAGAACAGGTTGCTCTAGGGCAGAACCAGAGTAAAGGTTCCTGACCTTCACACTGGAACTCTTCATCCCACACCTGTGGAATGACCTCTCTAAAAGGCACAGCCCTTACAACAGAAACAGCTTTGCCACACTCCAGTTCTGAACAGATGACTTGGGCAGTGGCAAATGTGAAGTTCCTATCAGACACTGGAATCCAGTCTCCTCCAGGATTCACTTCCACTCGCCCGGTGCAGGGTCCTTCTCCTCCAGCCAGGTGCACAAATTCTAAGGAAAAAAAAAAACTAGCAAATGAGTGTCCTGATTTATAAATAGGATCTAACATATCAGAGGCAATGATGTGAAAGATTTTGTTTGTTTTCCTCCCAAAGATAGAGTGTGAGAAGTTTCAACATTTAGTGTAAGAATGGAACCTGCATAAATGCATACTTGAAGGCAAATTTAGAAGATATTTGTAGAGTCAGGTCAGACTGGCTAAATTCTATTGTATGATATATGATGACATGTATTTGCATTCATAAGAACAGGTTATCATATGACTTAAAAGGATATATTTCTGTATGTTCCTCTGTATGTCTTCACAATTTAAATTTACATACCAAAAAGATATCACAGAGTACCACTAAAGTATTAAGCAATTTAGTGTGGCTATAATAATCAGGGATTTTTAGACTATACTTTCTATTACAGAAGACAAAAGAAAATTTAGAACATGGACCAGTTGTGATTAGAACGTGTTTCTCTTCTTTTTCAGATTTCTTTGTTTTGTCTTGCTTTAAGGAAATATTTTGTTACTAATGAGTAGAGTTTGAGAAACTCCTGAGTCAGCCATAGAACATAATTAAGAAGTAATTTCCAGTATGGTATCCAAGACCTAGGGAGTCAGCTTGTTTCAGAAATTTCATGTAACAATATTTTTACTGAAGACTTTTGCAGTGGGGTTGAAAATCAGGGCATTGCACATGGCAGGCTACTGCTTACAACTAAACTCTGCTCCCAGCCTAATTAAGGAGTTCACCAAGGATTTCTTTTCTCAATATGTTCAAAAAGATTTTCTTTTCAAAGCAAAGCATTAAAATGAAATTAAGAACACAACTATTAATCTACTGAATTAAAGTGGTGATTTCAGATATCTTATCTAGATCTACACCTATTTCTCTAGAATATGAAAGTGATAAAGTCTGGAGGCTTAAATCGTGTCTATAGGTTTATTTTATTCAGCTTTTTGCTAATGGATCAAAATGTCTTCCATCCAGAACACTTTTACCTGAAAGTGTTTTACTAATAATCTCTTAGGGTCTCTCAATCCAATCAGGTCAACAATAAAATTCATCTATCATAAGGCCATCATTTGTCAACTTGATACCAACACATGTCTCCTTAAACTATATTAACCTCAAATAAAAAACAATAGCAAACTCGTACTTCGATCAAAAACGATGTAATTATGCTGAATTCAACTGAAAATGCACGAATTCCCTCACCAACAATCCCAGCATTACTCAAAAGTACAAGTCCAAAGTATTCTCTGAGACTGAAGGTAAATTTTTAGCTGCATTCCTCTGTAAAATTAAGTTAGAAGGTCTGGCCAGATAGCTCATCAAACCAAAGCACCTGCTTAGGCAGAGTACAGGGGCCAGGATTCACCCTGCCTGCAGGGCACAATGAGACGCTCATTGAGAGTGGGCATGGTGGTGTGCACCTGTAATGCCAGCACTTGGGAGACTGAAAACAGGAGGATCACTATGAGTCCAATCGACATAGTGAGACCTGTAGACCCTGTACTAAATACATTAAAAAATTAAGTTAGAAAACAAGTTTTATGCTCCCAAAATAGGTAAACATTCCTACTTCAAATGAAAAAATAGAGGAATAGAATAAATAAGATCAAGGCATGTAAAATCCAACAGAGCAGATATTATATGTGGTGATTCCATGACTAGCATCAAGGGAATATGTTGATATTCAGAAAATTTCAAGTATATTGAAAAGCCACACCTCTATGGCATACCTAGGTTTTCCTTATAGGTCATTAGGATATTTATGTATGAGAGATGATTTTAAAGGCAACATTGAGGGTACATATGCATTTTGTCTTGTTCCCAATATAAGAATTCTTTAAAATTTGCCATGTGCTAGGAACTTTATTAAGTATTGTGCATGTAAATTATATGAAAATGATATTCTTATTTTGAAGGTGATTTACACATACTAAAGACAAAAACATGCTGACAACTTAACCCATTGGAACTTTCTTGCAATCCTGCAGTGAAGAAAGAAAGAAAACCATCCTAGATGAAAGTTATTGTGACAACAGATATAGATAGATAGATTAGATAGATAGATAGATGATAGATAGATAGATAGATAGATAGATAGATAGATAGATAGATAGATGGAAATATATACAGATGTAGACTTAGATATAGATGTTATTGTCATTTAAAGAGAAATGAAAATTTAGTCAAAAGTATTCCTGCCTGGCCATTAGACCATAATGTTAAGTGAAATAATCCAAACACTCATGCTTAAATATCACATGGTTTCTCTTCTCTGCAAAATATAGAGTAAAAATAGAAACAGAAGAAAAAAACTGTACTGTGAATTTCTGCTGATCTATGGAAAGGACCAGACAATGCTTAATTAGTTTTGTATCCTTTCCTCAATCATTTGTACTTTTTCTTATCTTAATTTCTTGCATATTTCATTCTTATTTCTTTCTTCAAATTTTACATGCATCCAGTGATATGAATAACTGGTTTGAAGACAACACTGCATTACAACACACACTGTGAATTTCATATTACTTTGTTAAGTGAAATTTTGTATTACTTGTAATTTTTTCTGGTTTTTTTTTTTTTACTATTTTGTACTCTCTTTAAAAAACAAAAGAAAAAAGACACATGATAGGAAGTAGAATGATGATAGATCATTCTCAAAAAAGAAGTCAATTAAGAAATGGATGGAGGAAGGAATAAGGG